AACGTCGTTGCTCGATCGCACGCTCCATGCTCGTCTGTCTCGTGTTTTCGTTTCCAAGACCTCTTCTAACCGGATACAAGACCGGCCATCTCTCCCCTCTTTCCTTTCTTTGTTCTACCGCAAATGTCCCGGTCGTTCTCAGCGTAGAACCAGCCGTTTACGCGTCGAGGACTTTTAACGATCTCACCCCAGTCCCGGCAAAAGACCACGAGCGAAACGATTCTAAGATGACGCCGGTTCTCAGAGTGCCTTCTGCGTGAGCGAACGCGACCCCCGTACCATGCGAACGAGCTTAACGCGTTATGACGTGAGTACGCCTGGAAATTCGATTTAGGTTCAACAGGCTGCTCAGGCGAGATTTCGATTCTGCCCGGCCTCGAGGAAATTGGCTTGCTTATCTTCTCCGGCGGTATTTTCTTAACCTTTTAACTATTCCTGGTAACGTTCTGGAATTCTTCTATCACTGGTAGAAATAACTGAATCGACTGAGAAACTAAGAGCACCGTTACGTTTGATATACGGTATTGGAAAAAATGTACAAGCTGTTTAAATGTAAATGTTAACCCTTTTCATCTTATAAGTCAATTTCAGCTGATTTGATTCGTGTGCGAAGAATCTTTCTGGTTGAGAAGTATAGACAATTTTGCTAGCTCCTCTGAAAATTTTGTTTGAAGTTTTGAAAATTTTGGTCACTAGAAATTTCGCTTTTCCCATGGTATAGGTATACGGCCACTTTTAGAACAGTACAACTTTTCTGAAATTGGACCAAATGATTCGAGATTTTTTGCGAAGTTAGAAGAGTTAGTGTACTAGATGACGAGTACCAAAAATTTTGAAAAAATTGTAATTCGTAGAAGAAAATTGTAAAGGTCACTGTTTACAACTTCTTTATCTGAGCTTGTTGCGAAAATTTGTAGATCTCTGTCAATTATACACATGCTGAAAATTTCATCGAAATCAGATGATGCAGAAAATCGTGAAAGATAGTGATTTTCACAATTTTAAACTTGCACTAAGAGCAAGAAGGTTAATTATGTTTTTTATAAGACGAAAAAAATGTTCTTCCTTTCAAATTGTACAAAATAAACAACAAATTTCTTGGCCTCTGTGCCTGAAAAAAGTTAACTGGTGAAGATAAGTTAACTCGTTTTTTTTTTTTTTTTTTCAAGACATTTGAGATATTCGAGAGTTTCGATGACTGGATTATGGTATTTTCCAGGAAAAACCTACAACGCCCGCATCCAGTGAAGACGATTCTTGCTTCTTCTCGGAACACGATCAGCTAAATCCAAGGTACCGAGGTTCATCCCCTAAGATTATTCCTTTGATAAAACTGTCAGATTTTCAAGAAAGAAGGGACGGTGATTGATGATGGAGATAAATGATCTTTTTCCAGTTCCAGTCGAAGATCGCGTCGTAACTCAAAAGGGACTAAGAGTAATTCGTCGAAATTTCTTCAGAATTCAGCGAGAGACACTGATTACTGTCGCTGTTGCCTCGCGAGCTGCGATCGCGTCAAAACAAAATTACGTAAGTGATGTAAGTGTTACTGGAATTCAAACTTGCGAATCTAAATTGTATATCGATATACTCCGACTATGTTTCAGCATCCAAAAAAACAGGCGAAGACACCAGAGTCCATCGTGTATCGAGCCTTCAATATTTTCCAGATTATAGTCGTCAAACGAAGCATGAGGTAATAGAAAAAATTTCCAAAATTTAATTCACGCAGAAGTACGAGGTAATAGAGAAAATTTAACCTTTTCCACTCCAATGGCGCTGTTATGGCGACATGCGTAATTACATCGGAGAACTTTAAAATTGTAAAATTCAGGTCTTTTTCATATTATTAAAATAGTGCAACTTAAAAATCTATGTTTTTCAAAACTTTGTGTTTTCAACAAGTTTCACTGCAAAAGTCTACCGGAGTTGCTGATTAATCTTACCAAAAAATGCTCCGAGTACAAAGGGTTAATAGAGGAAATACGATTTTCGAATTTCAGCAACAACTGCCAGCAACAGTTCGACAGAAACTTCCATTTACGTCGATCATAGTCATGTATCGTATTTTTGCGATGAAAATACACGTAGAATCGAAAAGGTGCTTCGAAGCACGTTTCAGGCTTTGACTTTAAACCGCTTTCTGTAGCAAACCGATGACCATATTGCAGTCCAGACTGGTTTTTCAAAAGAATTTTCAGTCGATGGATAAAACGATCGTGTACAAAGGGAACAAATGAAAATAGCTGGCAGAAAAATAGGAAATACTAAATAGAGGCAAAAAGAAAAAAAAAGGACGATATATTCGAAAAATATAAAAATTATTGAATTTTCACGCAAAATTCGTTTCTCTCTGAGAATCGTTGTTTCCTTAATTCACAGCTGTATTTTCTTTTTTCGCGAAAATCTGATAAAATCTATCACGTATCGAACTCTCGTCGAACGATTCTCGTGTTTCATCTACTACCATCCCCTCTGTATTCTTGCAGCCTCAGGTAACTTTCGCCACGGAGAGGTCTTCCAGCGGCAGCGAAGATCTTACCGGCAAATCTCTCGCGAAACTTTGGTAATTATACGAAAAGTTCGCCGGGTCACGTGCACGCTCTTAAATCGCGTGTATGCCCTTAACGAGAATCGTTCTAACGACATCTAATGCACTC